TGCCTTTCATAAAATAAAATCATGAAATAGCAAAAAAAAAACGTAGAACAAGATGGTGGTCATCAAAAATTTCTCCACATGCTTCTGATATAAAAACATAATCATCGAATATTCATAATCAACGTACTTATAATTTCACTGAACTATGAATATATATACGCGCACAGAGGTAAAATCGATGTGGATCGATTTCCACCTCGATTTGATTAAAGTTATGGCGAATGATCGAAGTAGTCGAAAATGACGTTCGATGGATATTTTAAAATCGTACAAGAAATAAATCACTTACATATCGATTATCTATAAACTACAGGCAGATCCAGCAATAAAACTGTATAGTATTATAAAACTCACCATTTTTGTCCTATACGGACACACATTCTAGAAAATTCTAGCACATGGTGCTATATAACCTTGTGCTACTGAGAAGAAATTTCTAGCCGTTGTTCGATCGGCGGCTCAAGTGAAAAGGAAGCGCGAGGAAGATCGCAGATCAGGAACTCCGCATCAAGCGCTCCAAGCGGAAAATTTTCCAAGTAGAAAAGCTAGAGATGGGATTAATGAAATGATAATCGAGAAGTGATTTAATAAATACGATCGGACGGTGAAACCGTTACAACTCAAGTAAACGTAAAAATAATTTCAGACTATAACTCTTAAAAATATCATTATAAAATTGTAGCCCACACCAAGGTGTAAAATTTTTAATGTTTCTTGAATCTATGCATATTTTTTGCAGATATAAACGATCGCGATATTGCATACAAAACTCCATATCTATTTTGGCAACACGTACAGCTAAAAAACGAGTGCACATTAGTAAAAACCAGCAAGTGTCAGCAGTGACATCTTATTGGAAAACCTTCAAAACGTCACAGAAAACATTTACAATGTCAAAAAGAAACAAGATAATGTCACTTTTCAAGATACGCAATACTCTCTCGTTACGAAACCTTTAATCCGTTGTGATAAAGTAAAAAAATCCCAGAACATAAACAGAATTTTGACCTGACGACAGCGTTGCCTAAGAATGCAGAGTCGATTTACCTACCATTTATTGGAGTACCTATAGGAGTTTAATTTTTGTGTTCTATATTAATACATACCTTGGGACACCTTATACATCCTAGTATGGAAATATAACGAATTGCTCGTGAAAAGAAAGAGAAGTGCACCATAGTAGCGCGTGACGACGCAGCCTTTCTGTGGCTTCGAGAGAATGCAATCAATATCGATATCCTGCTTAGGGGGATTCGATGGTGACATTCTAGGAGATCTTTAAAAGATAGAAAAAGGGATTCCAGAGGGTATTAGTAAGGTGTCATAGAAGATCGTTTCTTTCGCGCTGTCTTATTTCGATATTTCACACACTTTGTATAGTGTATGGTTGGTATCGTTTGTTGTCCGAGAGGCCAAAGTCTAGACCACGCTGATGAGCAGCCAAAAGCACAAAACAGCTGTCCATGGTTGGCTGTCTTTGGTCGGTCGGACGAGCATATTTAAGATCATCCTTATTTTGTAGTAGTAAACGACTCATGTGCTAGATGGTTATAACGCTAGCCTAATGATTCCGTCACTATAATAATAATAATAGTAACATGCCTTATTCGATTCTTCTACAAATACCTATCTTGGGTAAGGTGAGATACAAAAAATTTGGGCTTAAAGAATCGAAATGGCGTAGGTTAAGGTATTTTTCAACTCAGCCATAAAATAAAATAACAAACATGAGTAGGAACTGAGTCGTAAAATAATGCATACATGTGATTTGTGATAGTTGCCGAATAATGTTTAAATCTATACAAGTATACATGTTTAAATTTTAAGTCATTTAACATAAAATCATGATGTCCATACGATATGACTCGAAAAATCATACAGTCAATCTTATTCTTGCTGAATTTTTGAAAATTGATCTCATTATTATCAGCTAGAGGAGGCGGATAGAAGCATTGTTTTTAATTTCAATTTATTAGACTGTAATTGCGGTACTGGTTGGTAGATTGTTGTAGTGTTTGGTCGCATTGTATGAAAAACTTTCCTTGTATAACGATGTAGGGTGGTCGATTATAAGTAGAGATTTACTATTTCTTGTTGCTAAGTTATTGTCACCTTCAAATTTTTGTAGCTTATTGGAAAGGTACTTTGGTTTCGTATTCATTAACGTCTTATGGACTAAAGATACTGAATGATTCTAAGATTTTTAAATTCAATTTTCCGCTTTCCTTATAAACATGGCTGATACGGTCGTATTTTCTAATGCCAAGACAATAACGGAAACAAGAATCTTGGAGTCGCCGTAGCTTGATCTTATTACCTTGCAACAAGGCAAAGATATCCTTGAAATGATTAGTGAATCACGCAGCTGTAATTTTAGTTTACTATTTAGTCTTTGGGGATATAATCGTTTGAGGATACGATTATATTCTATTTTCTTGCAAAATACAGACAAATCCACACTATTCGACAGACGTATGTACTGATAACTTTCAGTATATTGAAGTTGGTAAATTCGAGAGTGCCATGCATTAACAAACGTCCAAATCTGCTGGCAAATTTAACAGCCGGAAAATCGAGCTATTACTTGCCGCATTCCCATTCGCTGAAGGGATAACGTAAACCTATGACATATATCAAAATACATGAAAGTTGTCCTGTTTCTTGTGTACAAAAGCATCATGTTGGAATCAAAAAGTGCTCTTGTTTATAGTACAGTCGAATTTTCACGATTTTATTCAATATCTCAATAGAAATCACTAATATTCAGAGACCTTTCTCAGCTTCTGTCAAATGCTCGTAATTTAATTCGTAATAAAAAGTCGTGGATTCGCCGATGAAAATTTTGCGTTAATCGAACAGATTAGGACTATGTCGACCAGTTTTTGCAAAAACGATATCCATTTAACTTGACGATGAACATTTTAATACTTGTTAATAGTGTAAGCTAAGTTTTTGCTATATCAACTTCTTTTAACGAGTTCTACAAGCTGTTAAAATAATGACTCAACTTTGAAAATACCCTGTATATGTCAGGAACGATGAACCGACCATTTTCCAGTTGTTCAGTAAACGATTAGGGACCGTACTATATCGTAAAAATCTATTTTCATGGCATTTCCGACGTAGCAGCGGCAATCTGCAACTTTTGATAGCACCCCCAACACACTAATGACCGGGAAAGATATAAAACTTAGTGAGCTACGGAGTTTTTGCTTTACGAGCGGCACGACGCCGACTTCGGCAAGTTGCGCGTTGCGATCTACTCGGATAAGTGAAGCACAAGTGGCCCAGCTTACGCGAAGCTATTGTCAGCGATATCGCCTTGTTCGAATGTTGAAGTAAAATCGCTCACTAGAAAGGCATAAAGAACTTTTGGAAAATTCCTTTTACGGGTTGTTGCACCTGATACGGTTTTAGTGGGATTGTTAGAGATTCCCTCAACACTTTTCTGAATTGGATAAACCGTACAGAGTGGTAATGTCTGGATTGCATACAGGGTGTTCCGTATTTGAATGGGCATAGTGAAGTGGTAGGCAGTACGAAGCGAGATGTTTTAGGGGAAATTCCACGAACATTAATATTTGATGGTCCGTTGGACCAATAGGAAAAGACCTTATCAAAAAGCAATTTGACGGAGGCTGTCCAAGCTCTCTGAATATGTGATTTCTATCGAAATGTTGAACGAAGTCGTGAAAAAATGATTGCCGTATAAATAAGAGTACATTATAGATGTAATATTATGTCTTTGTGCTTTAGAATTACGATAACTCTAATAGAATTTCAAATTTTTATTCACAAAAGACGGCCAGTTATTTAAATGGATCAATGAAAATTAGAGAAATAATTCTATTTTCTAGCTATTATATACTAAGTGACATATAAATCCGAACACCTAGTTTAAATGGTTTTATTTTAATAAAATTTTGTATAAGTACTTAATGAAGCATAATAAGTAAATGATAAAAATTTCAAAATGGTTGCCCTGCTTCAAAGCCCTTTGACCTTTAATAATGTGTGGATGCACCCTGATGTGCTACGCATTCTCCAACGCGCCTAGGCATGCTTCTGATCAGGTGGTCAATGGACTCCTGTGGTATCTCATTCCAGGCAACCACCAACTCCTCTCGAAGTGCTTCTAGAGTCTCAGGAGGACGTTGCAAATTGAGCAATCTCCTACCCATCATATCCCACACGTGGTCAATTGGGGATAAGTCGGGAGATCTTGGTGGCCATGGTAACAATGTGACATCATTATGTTGAAAGAAGTCTATTGTGACTCTTGCAACATGTGGTCGGGCATTATCTTGTTGGAAAGTTGGATCTGCCAGGGTGTCAAGATAGGGTAAAAGATGGGGTTCTAGAACTTCGTGAATATAACGCTGCGCGTTCATGTTACCTCTGATGAAGATTAAAGGTGACCTGGAACCATAAGCTATAGCACCCGAAACCATAACTCCAACAGTGTGATGAACATGTCTTTCAACAAAAAACTGTGGATTCCTCCTTTCACCACGTCGCCTTCTAACCCTGGCACGACCATCGTGCATGCATAAACAAAATCGAGACTCGTTACTAAAGACAATACTGTTCCATTCCTGATCCCAGAGTGACCGTTGTCTGCACCACTCAAGGCGATTACGTCGGTGTTCTCGAGTTAAAGGGAGGACCCAGTGTGGACGGTATGAAAACTTTCATTCGTCGGTAAACACTTCGCATGCCAATAGGTCTTCCATGTTCTGCAAACCATTCATTTGCGATGGACCTGGTAGTGGAGAAACGGTCCCTTAAGGCCAATAATCTTAGGCGGCGATCTTCACGGTCTGTTGTTCTACGGCGGCGTCCAGTGCCCCTTGCTCTTTGCGTTCGGCCTTCTCGAAGCCATGCCTGACAACACCTAACCACAGTTAATTGGATTTCTTTGTACATAGTCATTTCAACACTCGGCTTAAAAGGTGTTAATTTTGATAAAAAATAAGAAAATGCAAAAACGAGGAGTCTGGGTCCGGTTTATTTAGCCATCTGTCTAGTTTTACATTCCTCGTAGGTAACTTTGTTACCGTGAAAAGTTTTAACAATGGCGGTTCATTGGTGCTTGTGATATGTGATATTATGTTTTTAATAATTTTTTTAAAGCGTATAATTTGAAAAGTATACGACTTAAATTTTTTGTTTTCCTGATAACTATTATGACTTGGCCTGTTCCCCGTGTCGACTTTTATAAGACGTGTTTAAACAAGAATGATTGGCCCTATTTACTAAATATCAGTCGATAGAATTGTGGTAGAATTTAGGATGGTCATACACCTGCAAGGCTCATTAGGTTGGCCATATACGTGCTAGCAGACGCTTGACTATGGTTATAGGGTACGAACACATAAGACGTTTTAAAATAGTTGCTCCATTTACTAAATATCAGTCGATACAATTAAGTTAGATGCTAGTAGGCGAAATCGTGGATTCCGTGATGCACCGCGGCATACGGATGAACAGCCCATGGGTGTACGTCATGAACGGCAGCGTATGGGCCCCATCTTGCAGCGGCGTCGATGTCCTTGTGCCAGAAAGCGGGGTGTCCGTACACGGCGCTCTTGTGCCAGAAAGCACCTGGATGTCCGGCAGCTACGTACTTGTGCCAGGCGGCGACTGGATGTTCGTAAGCGATGTCATGCTTGAGAGCGTCGGGGTGGCCGTACGCGTGCCAAGCAGAATAAGGGTGCGCGTACGAGTGCCATGCGGCGTAAGGGTGTCCGTACGCGTGCCATGCGGAATACGGGTACTCGGAACCGTGCACGTAGGCTGGGTGGACTGCGGAATGAGCGTCAACCTGCAACAATGCATTCTAAATGATTTTGTGGCAAATATCAAGTACATAATGTTTAAGTGTATTTGAGGTTAAGAAAACAATTAATATCAAAAGACTTTTCTCTTCTGATACTAAATTATTTAATTAAATATTCCGCGCAGAGCTCTAAAAGCTAATCAGCTAAGACATAACTTAAAAGTTTCACGAATAACTTCTGCTTTCACAGAATTATTACTTAGACTTTTCTTCTTCAAGGACCTGGCGAGATGACATTACATAGGCATACAGGAAATTATGTAAAAAAACTAGACAAATGTTAGAGCTTCATAGTGATGTACATATTATTGGAAATGAATGGTTCGTGTAAAGAAATTGGAAACCCTGCTTTTGGGATTATATCTTCGTGTGTTGCCTCAATTAATTCCTCTACCTACCTTGGCGTCTTCGATGGCGTGAAGCTCGTCTAACTGAACCTTCTGTGCGAACTGTTGCGCGTCAACTTTCTCCACCATATCGTGGACCTCCTGTTCCTGGATGTGGTGCAGATGATCCAGAGCTTCCTTCTGTTCCTGGAGTTGCATGTGTTGCTGGTGCTGGAGTTCGTGGAGGAGGTGCTGTTCCTGCATCAAATGGATGTGCTGCAGTCTGTGCTGCTCGTCTAGGTGTTTGTCCTCTTCCCATTGCTTCTCTTTTACGTACAGTTTCTTGTGGAAGTCGTCGCTATAACAAAAAAACGTTGTATGAAAATTTCGTCGAATGCGCTAGGATATTGTTAATACAATATTTTGGAAGGTTCTGATAGAGAGCTAATAAATCTAGATTGATAAATTGAAATATCTGTGTCCTGATACAAAGCCTTCCATTAAAATTGTTGTCATTTCAAAAGATCTTTGTAGTATCCAGAAATGGTCATTAATTCGAGGACTTGTTGATTTAAGGAGAAAAATTGACGAAAATCTTACCCGAAACCGTCAGTTACGTCGTGCACAGGCCATGCACCAGCTTCGTGTACTGCGGCCCTGTACACGTCGTCGATGTCGTGAACTCCGGCGATGTGCTTGCCATAGTAAGGATGTCCATACCCGTATCCATGTCCGTAGATGGCGTCCTTAACGTAGTCTGCGGCCCAGGTCTTGTGGAAGGGCCCATAGGCGTGGTCGTAGACACTGCCGATGGGCAACGTGCTGCCCAACGCAAGGGCGGAGAGGATCAGGAGGGCGACACACTGCATCTTTCAGATCGTAGGAGGCTGAGAACTGAATGATGGTTTTAGGACGGGATGGCGGGTTTTTATATTGGTCTTTATCGCGGGGTTTGCGTGTGTTTTCTTGCGTTATCGCAGCGATATAGACAGCGGAGTATTTGCAAGGAATCGTTGAGCAATAGATGCATATAGTTTTTTGGTTCACGTATAGTGATACCGCTGCTGAGAAGGTAAGTATTCTGTTTTGATGTGGTAACTACAAGTCTGAAAATATGTAAAAGTGCATTACAAAGGTTCTATGAAAGTATGGAAAACATGATTGTAGACTAGAGGAAGAAGGCCATCAAATAGAATGACTCTCTCGATGAAAAAATAATTTACATAGTTGTGTCAATTGTTTTGGATAAAGTTTTATAGGTTTTTTAGATCACTCTAAACGAAAAAGGCTCGTAGTAACTGTACTCTAAAGTGGACCGTTTGCCATTTGAAGTATGAACAACCTGAAAATGGTCACTTTCAACGTTCAAAAGCTTAAGTTCAAAGATATTTGTGGTGGCTAGGATCTAAATTTGTTTTTGAAAATCGCACCAAGTTACCGTCTGGTTACCACTTGGTTAATGCTAAAGGTCATCCAACAAACGCGAGTATGGAAAAAGGTTGGAAGCTACCGTACGAAAAATGGCCATTTATTTTTTAAATAAGTCGACAAGTTATCAAGCAGAAATTGGCGATTATGCATTAGATGACACTAACGTAACTTGACAGTTGAAAATTTTAAGATGGGATCTGGACATAATCTTGGAATATTTTTCAATTGAAATGAGAGGTCACGTGATGCATAAGCTTATTAGTACCGTATAGCCCTACTGTATAAATTAATTATCTTTAAAAATGCTGGTGGGTTTTCAAGAATGAGCGTTTTCGTACATTGAATCGCTTATAGGTAGACAACTTATCTAAATGCTTTAGTATTTTATATTAATATTCTTTTATTTTTGGAAAAGCATATCCAAGTGGGTAAAAAAATACAGGATATAACGTGTAAAAATTGACGTTTTTCATTTTTTGAATGTAATGTTCTCTATCTCATTAGATAAAACAAAAACGTACCTTATAGTGCTTATCTGCAATCCCTACTTATTTTTGAAACGGGTCAAGAGTAGGAGATGAAGCCATACTGTCAAGTTAGCGAGATGAAATCGGCTCTTGAATACTACATTTTAGCAGTTAAAAATGCCAAGCTTTTGAATGGGAAGTCACGTGATACACGGAGTCCCAAAAATTTGGTGGACGAACCACGTATTTTTAGACTCAAAATAAGTCTATCGGATACGATTTCCGTTTATGCATTATTCATTTTTCAAGATATTTTTGAATGAAATTTCGAACACATTGCTAGTCGATCTAATATTTGACTTTTACGGAAAACTTTAACAGGTTTGATAAGGGTGAAATCTACCCCCACCCCTACATAGATTATAGCAGACTTTTTTGGCAGTTTTGCCGACGACTGAATTTTATTATTTCTTCATTTTTTTTCTATAAAACCAGGTCATGTCGGATAGTTTTCGAGAAGAGAAAAATTACCTCAAGAGATTCCCAAGCTTTTTATTAATATTCTATATGTGTAATTAGCGGAAATACGTAAGTGTGATATCATTACTATTTTATTTAATACAGGTACTAGCGCGAATCTTTTATAAAACGTGTTCAATATGATCATCATAATAAGAATTTTTTTTTAGAAACCAGCTCAGAATAACATCTTCTATCTCAAAAACTATGCGAGATATATAAGAGATAACAAATGAAGTAAATAGAAAAATCAGTGTCGTGCGGAAAGTTGCGAAAAAATTTACTATGATCTATGTGGGGGTGGGAGAAGTTCTCACCCTTTTCGAACCCTTTTGAGTTTTTTGTAAAAGTACATATGATCGAAATTTTATATAAATCAAACTATCGCTTCCAAAACTACCTGAAGAAAAATGTTTTAAAAAGAAAACTGAGCCCTCTAACGGACAAACGAAGCACTTTTGCATAGAGGTAGATAATGGCAAATCGACTTACTTTGAGCTTAAAAATACGTGGTACTTCTATGTCCACAGAATATTGGGACATCATGTAGAATACAAAATCACAATTCCAATCAATTATAATACCATCCAGGTATTCAGCTCTCGTACCCTGGGAAGTTTTTTTAAAGAACTTCTCAAAATATTTGCATTGATAATTTTAGATATAAACCGTTAGTATCGTTATTTCGGACACTATTTGAATTTCCTGCAAATATCTTGTTAATTTTGCATAACTGATTAAACACCCTTCTAGGTTCAGCGTCAGGCTGCCATAGTCGACCCCGATTGAGTCTAGGTCCTATAGTCGCTTCAAGTAGGTTTACTCTGCACCTGATATGCAATGCTGTCATCAATTCGTAAAGGATATTCAGCTCGTTCGTTCCTCCCAGAAAAAAGTTGCATACGAAAATGTATAACAAAGGAATTAAATGAATCACTAAGAAAAAAATTTCGGTCATTTTAATACACTACAGGTACAGTAGAGAGCGCCCTCTAGCGGCTACAGTAAAACTATGCCCATGGTTCGTTTTGTCGTACCAAAAAACCCTTGTATAAAAATTTTCACTGTTATACATCAAATATTGTTCGAAATACTTAAAAAAAAACTATTTTAGAAAGTAAATTTAAACACCCTGTATTTCGGAAGCCACGCATTTTTCGACCCATGTTTATATAGACTTTATGCATTATTTTTAAAAGTTCTATCGAATCTTAAAGTTATGCAACAATAAACTGAAACATCCTGTATGCAGAACAATGAGTTAAATTTTGTATGTTTCATATTGGACAGTCATCAATAGAAAACTTATTATTCACTGATTATTTTTATTTTCATTTTGTTTCATTGTTTTGAGTGATACCTTAATAATAATTTTAGTGGGGACTATTTGTTTTGAAAAAAACCATTACGAGATGAATAGAATACCTTAAGACAGGAACGCCAAAGACCAAAGTATTTTCCGAAAACAACCTAACCTGCTTTAACATAACCTTACTATTCATCTTTCAAATATGAAATATACTAAGTGACATATAAATCCGAACGCCCAGTTTAAATGGTTTTATTTTAATAAAACTTGGTGAATGTATTTATCTTACTGTAAATAACAAGTGAAAAAATTTTCAGCCTTGTCAGTTGGACAATCCGGTTTTTATACTGCTTTTTTTTTAATTCACTAACGATCTAAAAATGAATATTTCAGCCGCAGTAAAGAATCAACGTTGGCGGATTTTGGTTCTTGACATCCTTTACGATCGGTTACGATGCCTAGAGTACGGAGACCTGTACGATTTCGTCAACTTAGTGAGTTTGATAGGGGCCGTATAGTGGGACTTCGGGAAGCTGGACTTTCTTTTCGGGCAATTGCAGTTAGAGTGCAAAGAAGTGTAGACACTGTGGTTAGGTGTTGTCAGGCATGGCTTCGAGAAGGCCGTACGTAAAGAGCAAGGGACACTGGACGCCGCCGTAGAACAACAGACCGTGAAGATCGCCGCCTAAGATTATTGGCCTTAAGGGACCGTTTCTCCCCTACCAGGTCCATTGCAAATGAATGGTTTGCAGAACACGGAAGACCTATTGGCATGCGAAGTGTTTACCGACGAATGAGAAGTTTTGGCTTGTTTTCATACCGGCCACACTGGGTCCTCCCTTTAACTCGAGAACACCGACGTAGTCGCCTTGAGTGGTGCAGACAACGGTCACTCTGGGATCAGGAATGGAACATTATTGTCTTTAGTGACGAGACTCGATTTTGTTTAGGCATGCACGATGGTCGTGCCAGGGTTAGAAGACGACGTGGTGAAAGGAGGAATCCACAGTTTTTTGTTGAAAGACGTGTTCATCACACTGTTGGAGTTATGGTTTGGGGTGCTATAACTTATGGTGCCAGGTCACCTTTAATCTTCATCAGAGGTAACATGAACGCGCAGCGTTATATCCACGAAGTTCTAGAACCCCATCTTTTACCCTATCTTCACACCCTGGCAGATCCAACTTTCCAACAAGATAATGCCCGACCACATGTTGCAAGAGTCACAATAGACTTCTTTCAACATAATGATGCCACATTGTTACCATCGCCACCAAGATCTCCCGACTTATCCCCAATTGAGCACGTGTGGGATATGATGGGTAGGAGATTGCTCAATTTGCAACGTTCTCCTCAGACTCTAGAAGCACTTCGAGAGGAGTTGGTGGTTGCCTGGAATGAGATACCACAGGAGGACATTGACCACCTGATCAGAAGCATGCCTAGGCGCGTTGGAGAATGCGTAGCACATCAGGGTGCATCCACACATTATTAAAGGTCAAAGGGCTTTAAAGCAGTGCAATCATTTTGAAATTTTTATCATTTACTTATTATGCTTCATTAAGTACTTATCCAAAGTTTTATTCAAATAAAACCATTTAAACTGGGTGTTCGGATTTATATGTCACTTAGTATATGATCGATCGTGCAACATGAAAACGTCGTCTATCTTTGTCGGATAGATGCAAATTAGCAATACAGTTTGTTTAGACAATAAGATTCTGTTTGTCTCTGTCTATATCTGAAACTTCATTAGAAATATTTTCAAATCGCTGTCGTTTGTCTTTACTACAGTCTAAAATGATGACGTTATCGTCATCTTTCGTGATTTCGACTATATTTGCCTGCATTAAGTTGGTTACGTTACCAAGGTGTCATCTTAAGAGCACTTGAAAGAAGAATCTATGGTACGTTCATAAGTACATTCTTGGCACTGAAGATGTTCCATTGTCAGCAAGCATTTATTTGGAGACTTGGGTTTATTAGTAGATAATTTCCATGCATCTATGTAAAATTATAGCTACTCGAAAATTCTGAACTTTCTTGGTCACATAGGAATACGGGAATTTTCCGACATTGTGAGCCCCTTAAATTACTTTTGACCTGGATAAACACACATTTGCAAAACTTAGAAGCACGGAGTTTTATCCATCATTTTTTTGTTTCTCGCTTAT